CACACGGGCACACACATGCACACACACGCGCGCGCGCACACACACACACACACACACACACACACGGGCACACACACACACACACACACATACACACACAAGCACGAGTGAAAGAAGAACAAAACTAAATTACGAAGAGCACAGCAGATTCAGGACGATATCTCTTTAGGTCATTTCAGGTGTCACCACTGGTTCCTGTCAAATTCTCAGAAATGAATGTAGCCAAGCACAGTAGGTAGCAGAGCCAGGCAGATTTCCTTGAATTTGAGACAGATTGGTCTACATAGTGAGTATGATAGTAAGACATGTCTTATAACACACACACACACACACACACACTCACAAATACAGTTGAACATAATTTTACTTTTGTTTGTTACAGGATCTCATTAAAAAGTTCCAGCTGGCTTAGAACACTATCTACAAACAGCTTAATAAATAATCTACTGGATATTTTAAAACAAATTCCAGCAACCATTTCTATACCATTGGCTCATTATTCAAAGCATGGAAATTTTCTATATAATATGGAGCTTCCAAGGAATTTCCTGTATATTTACTCATATTTGAAGAGAACTGGAAGTGGGAGAAATTTTACAGTTTACATTCCTAGGTTGTTTTCCTCCATCCAATTATTCTATAATATCAATATCAATTTTTCTTGAACTTTTTCTAATTTAGAAACATTTTAACTAGTTTGTAAATTGAGCTGTTCACACATTTTGTTTTATGCTAAGATTCCAATTGTGGAGGCTGAAAGAATGCCTGCTAGAGTATATATTCCAGCTGCCAGTAATGTAATGAATTGTTAAGAAATTTTTTTAAATAGTTACAAATTTTCCAAGTATTGTATTGAAATTTTTGTAATACCACTCTTTTTTACATTTTTCTGTGATCAAAAACTAAAAGGAGGTTGTTGTTCACAAATTATGTCATTATTTGTTGTGCTATCAACACATTGAGTTAAATAGCTGTTATTGTATGTTACATGAAATAAAGAATGACTATACTGGATTGCTGAGTTTTCTATTAATAACACATGAGGACCAACAACACCAGCTTATGTGTGATATGATTGTATCAAAAGTAAAATTAGCTGAGATTTAAAAATATAAAAAGAAAATGTAGATGTTATGAATTTAATTTGTTATAACAATTAGAAGAAAAATGTTAATGAGTTGATGCTAAAATGGATTTACTTCAAGTCCTAAGTGCTAATATTAACATATGGAGTTGATGTGGTTTTGGACATTGAACACAGGGCTTTGTAACTCCTATACTAACTGTACAGGACTCAATCCATAATTACTTGACAATGCTCGTGTCCTTTTATGATCTTTATGAAAAACATAACATTAGTTATTATATGCAATGAAAAACTCAACCTATATGTTATTTTTAAAGTAAATAATAATTTTAAAAATACACATGTCAAAGCTATAAGTGGAGGAATAGGATATGTACACGAGACTGCTGTACTGTACCTGTGCCATGCTTGCAAAGCTGAAATATAAAATAAAAATGTGATCTTCCATACTTAAAAGAAACAAGTAAAATTAGCAGTGTTCTCACAATATTTTCTCCTTAAAGGGTAATAAATGAATCGTGTACTGCCTTAGGTAGGATTTCTACTGCTGTGAAGAGACACCATGACCATGGCAACTCTTATAAAGGAAAACATTTAATTTGAATGACTTACATTCTTAGAGATTTAGTCCATTATCATCATGGTGCAGGCAGACATGGTGCTGGATAGGGAGCTGGGCATTGTACAACTTGACCCATAGGAAAAGGAAGTGGTCTGGGACACTAGGTTTGGCTTGAGCACATATGAGACCTCAAAACCCATGCCCACAGTGACAACCTTCCTCCAACAAGGCCACACCTACTGCAACAAAGACACACCTCCTAATAGTGCCACCTCTTTGAGCTTATGGGATCCAATTATATTCAGACTACCACAGGTACTAAGTATTGGTGCTCACAAGGAAGTATGATATGTTCTCCTGTGTGAGGAAACAATGCACCCATACTATTGAGAAAGAATATTTATTTCCACACCATAACTTATAAGACCATGAAACTTTCTGTGGCGTCACCCAAGGCCCCATGATAGATTATATAAAGTATTCGGCTTACATGTAACCCAATGTAGGAATAATGACGAGGTTGCTCCTTGTCCTCCAACAGGACACAGAGGAAATGAGGCACTTCTTGAACACTGGTTATGCTTTTTGAGATGCCGGTTTTAATAACTCTGCTTCCAATAACTTGAACAGGGTAAACTGTTGTTGTTCCCATTTTTTCATTGCCCAAGAA